GGAGAACAATCATGTCTTGTTCTTGGTTTAAATGAAAGCAGAGGATAGTGTTGTGCCCGACTTTGTGATATAATTAACAGCTTCACATAAAGTGGTTTTAGAGTTTGACTTTATTGTATTTTAGTTTGCCCGACTGTCTCCAACGATCATATCGGTAGCTTAAACAGGTTTGCTTCTGTAACAGAGGAACACTCCAAGGAGAAGCTGAAGAATGAGAGGGAGGAAAATAAAACATTTTCTCTCCTATTAGTTCACTGCTTTTATCTCATTTAATATTGCAATGGTGGTCTCTGGGCTAATAAGTAAAGATCTTTCATGCTCCTCTTAGGTGAGAAGACATGTTTAGTTATATAACTTGGCCAGAATGAGAAAGCAAAACTCGGAGTAAACAAGGTTCTAAGAGTTCCCTTTGGCCAGAATTGTCTCCAGTTCCAAATACAATGGATTTGGAGTGAAAGAGAATATTTGAACATCCTCGGATTTTATGATTGGAGAGACCTAACTTCAAATTAACAGAAGAACGAATGAGATGTTCTTGGAATTATTACTGCCTATGGGCTCTAAACCACCTGAATGGATTGTCATGGGGACAAAGTGATAGTGTAATTACTACCATACAGTCAAGGATTTCTAGATTGAGCAAGGAAAAGTAGGACTGTTAAACTTCTTAAAAGTGCCAGAAAAGAAGAGCCTCCATCAGAGGAAGTAAAAACTTTAGTTTGCTATCTGCTAGTAATGGAGAACCACAAACTTTCGAGAGGCAGCCTTCTCACAAACTGATTCTGCCCATCCTAGTTAGTTGCTGCTTCCTTTGGGACAGGAAACATCAGAGTCAGAGAGAGAGAGAGAGAGAGAGAGAGAGAGATACACACATATATAAAGCTAAAAGATATAAAACAGAAAGCAAATATAAAAAATAAGAGTCTGAAAGGATTTGATTTGATTTGGGGTAGGAATGAACAGAAATGCCAGCTGAGCATTTATAGAGAGCAGAAGTCGACATGAAGAAAAGGTAGGAATTTATCTGGATATAAATACGAGCTGAGTAGTTTAGGCAGACATGTAAGCCAGAGGTAGGAAACCTCTGGGACTCAAGATAATGCCTGAACATTGATGAGAGATGTTGGCAGTCTGAGGTGGAGTAGTGTTACTCAACCTTAAGTACTCTAAGATGTGTGGCCTTCAACTCCCAGAATTCTCCACCCAGCCATCTTAAGAGTTGTCAAGGTTGGGAAAGACAGCTCTGGGGTGTCACTGGCTGCCCACTCAGTGTAAACCTTTCCTCCAATTTCCCTGTTTTCCTAATCTCCCGACAGAGCTTTATGCCTTCAGTACAATGTTCTAAAATACTTACAAGCCTCTAGAGTTTGTGATGCTCTCTGAGCTTGGATTTTTTGCTTGCAGATGTTTCCTCACCTCAGTTGGTAACATCAGTGGGAGTAATTGCCAGGTTGGCTGGCAGTTCATATGCAGTAGCTCGCCCTGCCAGTTTTGGTGGAGGTGTAATTTCCTCCTTGTGGTTCCTTGATTAGAGTATTATTTCCTGTCTGATTGTCTGGTCTCTCCGCTCATCTGCATGTGGGCTGCTAAAGAGGGGCGGTCTTGTAATTCTTTTATTTCCTCCTAGGTTTTGTATTGACTCTTTTGAATGACCTGTAAATGTAGTTTATCTCTATGTATCTATTGATGGCCGTTTTATGTATGCCTATCTGAGAATAGTCTCATTGTAGGGGTCAGAGCTGATTAGTCCCGGTGATTCGGAGTGGGAGGCCGAGCAGCTCACAGGGACTGGGAGTGTGGCTCCGTTGGCTGTGGAAGAAACTGGGGAAGGGCAAAGTCCAGCTGGGCAGAGCAAGGGAGAGGTAGAGCAAGGGAGAGGGGGTTTGGAGGAGGACTCAGACCCACCCCCTCTTCATCCTAGGGCATGCAGGGAGGAACAGAGAAGGGAGCAATGTGAGTTGTTCAGCTTACAGGGGAGGAAAGGGCCCTGATTCCCTTCATGAGCTGCAGCTGGGAACACAGTGTTTAAAAAGGGAAGCTGCGCAGAGCAAGTTGTTGGGAGCAAATCGTGAATTATCTGGTTTCGTCAAGGCTTATCTGTGTTCCTGGCATCTTCCCAACTGTGTGTGTTTTGCTGTGCTCTCCAGTCTGCAATTCCTTCTCCTGCCCTGTCAAGTTATAATTACTGCAACGTGGTTTGTTTGGATTTTTAGTTACAGTTTGTATGTACTTTGTTTTTGGACTGAATTTCCTCCACTTAAAGGCTGTTCCTGAGAAAGTTTTTCTCCAGCCGAAGGTAACCTGGACATTGGGGGCAAAGTTGGAGATAATAAAGGGACTCTTTTTACTTATTTTACTGTGTTGCCTTTGTGCCACGCCCCAGGTCATTACACCCAGCTATATTTAGGAAGAGAGGGGAGCTTCTGGAAATTAGATCATATATTGCTCCAGCCCTGTATGGCCTGATCCTTGTGTGCTTTGTTCATTTGTGCCAAGGGTTTTTGCCACATGTTCATGAAACAGATCATACTTTTTGTCTGGCCTTGAACCATGGATGTCAATAAGGCTTGTGCTCCAAAGACTGTAGTTTAGAACTATAGCTTAGTCTGGTGTATTTAACCGATTCACAATCTAATAATGCCAGAAGGGGCAGGAAAATAATTATGTAAGACAAAGTCTTCTCAAATTTTAATGTGCAACAACATCATTTGTTGCTTCCTTCTCTTTAGTTTCGCAGACCTGACTATTAGCTTGTCCTAAATTATTGTATTCCTTGTCCACTTCAGCCCACAGTCCAGCCTTGTCCCTCTGAAAACACCCCACTGTATAATTTATGTCAGGAAGCAAAATAATTTAGGTTTAATAGATCAACTTGGAATTTTGGGAACCTGTTATGGACACTATCACCACCACGGATTTGCCTTCTCACAAAATGATGGCTTTGATGGGGTTTTGTCAGGCACAAATCACCTGTTTATCAGAAACCAAGCAGCTGAAGGATGCTCTTTCTATCGCCCTCACTTTGCTTTGTCCTTTTTAACTTCAATGGAAAAGGAGCTTGAAAGTGGCTTCAAGGGGTGCTTCATTTTGATAAAGGTTCAAATGAGAACCAGCTCAAATTGCTTCTTTAGGAGACAATGTGGCTACATGGCTTTACTTGTTCCCTTGGTTTTGCTGGGAGAGCTTATGAGTTGAGTCAAATCACTTTGTGTCTCCACTTCAGTAAGGCACATTACATCACCTTCACAACATGAAGCTACTCATAGAAGCCTGATTGTTTCCAGTAACAATTTATTTTGCAAAGAAAGCCCTCATACATTCAAGTCAGTCGGAACAAAGTAGGAACTTATCTCTTAATGAATATGAAAGTAACGACCATTATTGCAAATGAAGTAACTACAGTTTGTGTCAGCCTTCAAGAAACCTTCTTTTGCTTGTCTTTCTGGCTGCCATAGAAATGGGGGGAAGGAAGATAAATTGGGCTTTGTGTTTGGGGAAAAGAGTGCTGGAGGCTTGAGAGGGTGAACTGTAAAACTTGGGAAAACTTTCTTGACTATTCTTACTTGCTTATTGCCCAGGTGTAGCTTCTTATCTATCCAGGCCAAGGTCAACTGTCCTGGAGAGCCAGATGTCTTAAACACCACCTGAAGATGCACCCACATGACATTATACACACCTCAGATTGGATGGCCAGTTTGAACTATTGGGGGTGGGAACATTGGCATAACTTTCTATATGTGATTTGTGCGCCTATTGCCTCAGATCTTGTATTCCTCTGATGCTACCATATCAATTTTGAGTAAAAGTCCTTTTCTCTAAAACAGTGGAGTCTAAGCTTTTCTTTCTTGGATTTTGAATGAAGCCTCACCTGACAGTTAGTCATCATTTAGAAAATTCTTGTACATAACATTAAAAGTAAGTCCATTCAGGGAGTACCATCAGATCTCCAAGACTTCAGTAAGGGCAGGATCATTCCCTACCTTTCCTGGGATTGCAAGAACGATGCTGAGCTATGGCCTTTTCATACCATTTTTCAAGAAGCAACCATACTACTTCTGCTAGATATCAGCTAAAGCTTTGTCATGTCTTCAGAATCAAAGAATTGGGACAGAGATGAATGATGCCTTTTGTTGAGTTGTTTGTGATCTTGATATCGTGAGGTGATGCTAGCAAGACCTCCACTTTTGTGGGAACAGGCTACCTATGTATCTTTGATTCAAAGCTAGTCTGGAAAAAAAGAAAGAAATGAAATGAAAGATATCCGGTGTTATTGGGTTATGTCATTGTCAATTATTGGAACTTTTCTCTCTCCCTCTGTCTCCCCAGCCTTTACCTCCATTTAAACACAATTAACAATCTCTAATAGCTGTCTCCATCAGCAACAATATTGTGTGCATATGTGTGCAGAGACGCACTTCCATAATAGCATCAATAACTCCCTAAAAACACATTAGCCGAGGAGACAGCATTTAAATGATGGAACCGAGCAATGGGAAGAATTTTCTCCATAACAACCCTTAAAGACTGCCCCCTTCCTTCAATTTGCATCTTGTACGTTGTTTCCAATGTCCAAGAGAGAAGTCAGATTTCCCCCCACCCAACCTTTTTTAAAATAAGAAATCACCATCATTAGGAGAGCTTGCGAATTCAGTTTCCTGTGCTCAGCTGCTTGGCAGCAGATAAAGGAGGGAGGCAGTGTGTTGCTGGGGTTTATACAGAAGAACTGCTAGAATAGATGTCAGATTCCACCGGCTAGTGCGACTGCTTTTGAGAGCTCCTACTTCTGACTTGGCTGCCCAGTACCCCGCTTTCGCTCTGATTTGAACTTTTGGGTTTATTTGAATGTACTTTGCAAGGGAAAGAGTGAGCCTACCCAAGAGGAGAAGAGCTGGTTTTTTTCAGCACCGCCACAACGGGACAGCTCCCACGAAGTCTTTGGACTGCAAGCCTTCTGACCCTTTTGTCCTACCACAAACTGGACTCTGGAGCTGCCTGGTATCATGGAGCTGTCCACCATCCCCGGTGCTGAAATCTTTTACAACAGCACCTTGCAGGACTTTAGCTCAAGTTCTCTCACAACTTCAAATGCCACAAATCAATCGCCAATGAAAAATACCACTTCAATCATCATAGCTATTGCTATCACTGCCCTGTATTCCGTCGTGTGTGTGGTGGGACTTTTGGGGAATATCCTGGTAATGTACGGCATTGTCAGGTAAGAAAAAGGTTCCAAAATATCAAGCCCAGCTTGTTCTTTGACTAGACGAGAGGAGGATTTATGCCTATGTGACTTGGCTGGATGACACAAGGGTCATTGGAAAGAAAGAAGCCATGAAGTAGACGTGTAGGGAGACTGGGAGAACTGTGTGCAGCATGAACTCGTGACATAAACTTGTAACGTAATGTAGTCTGTGTGAAAGTGTGAAAGAAAATCACTTGCATGCCAAATGAATTAATAACCAGGATTAAAAATAATGCTGGTTGTGCATTGAGTGGAAATAGAGTGACCGTTTGAAGTTGATGAAGGAATTAGAGCCATATCTGTGCATTCAGCAATGCACTATCATGTGGAAGTTAGGATAGAAATGGAACATTAAAAATGTGGGTTTTGTGACTCAAGAAATGATGTGCTTCACTGCATGCATTTTAACTGCAAAATGAAGGTGCATCCTATGTTACTATTATTATGGTTTTAGAAAATTGCCATGCCTGATACATGCCTGGAGCAATGTAGTTTTTACAGTGCTAAAAATTCTGCCCACTGTGAATTTTATGTTTGGCTGTATATGAATGAAGAGGGAGACTCAAACAACAGCTACAAAGATGCAATGACTTTTCAAATAGAAGTATCTTGATCAGGCAGAATAAACTCTTAAGATATATTCACTCTCGGTTTGTGAAGACGAAAAACATTGTTTCTTTCAATTCATGTCAAGAGAGGCATGTGTGTGCCTGTATGGGAGATACCAATTTTTCTAGGAGAGGTTCAACATGTCAAACAAACAGAGATCATGAAATATGTGCTTTGTTAGTATATTGTCCTCAGCATAGTTTCCGTCAAATATGTTGGACTACAAGTCCAAGAATTTTAGGCTGCCTGGAAATTATGGAAACTGTAGTCCCTCATACCTGAAAGATATTTGATGGGGGGGGGGCAAGAATATTTCATAACTTGGTCTATGAGAGGTCATTTTTATTGTACTGAGAAATTTCCAAGATACTTCATATTTTTCTGGTGGAGGTAATAGTGCTATTAGAACAGATAATGGTGAAGTGTAATCTTATCAAATAAATTCAGATCCTTGACAGGATCATTAAACACTTCTGCAATCACTTTGGTTTAGGTCTAATGAACCTGCATTCCAGCCATTAGTCACAACAGAGAAATATTTTTAATCCTGATAATTACCAACTATGAGACTACCGCCAAGTCTCTTTTCCTTTTCTAGAAATGCTGAGTTTAAATCTGGGAACCCTTCACAGAGTTACAGCCCCTTTATTTTTGTGCCTAGAATTGTGACGAGAAAGTTGCTTAAGAATTGCATTTCTACTTCCCTCCTTCTGCCTCTTTATTTTTTTAACTAAAATGCTGTAACTTCTGGTTAGGTCTAGCCAAACAAAGAACTGACCTCTCATAGCATCGTTTTTGTTTCAAATGACATATTATGCAAACAAACAGGCCCCATTTAGTGAACTGGGTTGCTTCCTTTGGAGACTGTGTGAGTCAGCATTCACACATTCACATCTGAGGAAAGAGTGCCAATGTGGATTTTCCCCCCCTTCCTTTGTTGTTTCTGAGTCATGCAAAGCAGAGAAATGGTTTGCTTTCATGCAAGCAATTCAAAAACCCCAAAACAGATTCCTGCTTTCTTTTTGTATTTGGCAAAGACAAAGCTTTGGCAAAGTCATCATTAATATGCAATGCCACCCCCCCCCCCCCAAATTCTCAGGAGTCTCAGAACTTGGCATGCCCAGGAAATTGTATTTTGAGCTCAGTATACCAAAAATCTGTTTCTGGAGTAGAATACCGCAATAATGTAATCTGTGTCTACCAACATTTCTTCCCCCTATATTTTCCCATTTCGGTTCCCAATGGCTGACTGAAATGATACAACAGTTTATGTTAATATAATAACTTGGAGCAATCACAAAGAACATTTAGGATTACTGAATGAAAATATTCCATCTGTTAGCATTTGCAAACCCTCATGAGAAAATGCCTTTGCTATTTTCGAGCTTTTGTACAATTTTCAATTTTGTCCTAGACTTATGAGGTCTAATGGCTTGATGCCCTTTTCTTCAAATGGGAGCCGCGATATCAAATATTCTGAAAAACTCTTTGTCTGAGAGTTCTGTAGAGAATTGGTCATGAAGTGCAAAACCATACATAACTATTGAAAAATAATTCCTAGCCCATTCGGTATAATTGATTTCAAGATCTGCAACCTGCATCTCCTTGATTAAGACCAAATACTAGCCTCTCCTGGTAGGGCTTTGCTATTTCAGAAGTTGGAAGATTTCTGCAGAAAATCTGGATGACAATTAGGTAGCTTCAAAGAGATGCAGAAAAAGAGATTGCAGCTCAGGGTTGAACTATGTGGTCCTTGGTGCTCTCTGAACTTGATTGTTTTCTTGCAGATGTTCCATTACCCAACTGGTTGTTCCTTGATTAGGATATTGTTCCATTGTTGTTAGATTGGAATACGAGAAGTAAACAATACTCCAGTCAAGGAACAACTCAGAAAAACACTCAAACAGCCCCAGGAACCACTCAGTCCCTTCCCAGCAACACTGATGAAGCAATATACTACTATATAAAATAAAAGCAAATGTCACATCCTCCTAGCAATGATGATCTTACGTAGTTTGGTATTGAACCATCTGCAAGAAAACAACCAAATTCAGAGAGCACCAAGAAGGGAGGTGAAGAAAACCTAACTCTTTGCTCTCATCTGGATTGCTGCAACCCAGAACTGGTAGCCTTGCTGAATGTGTATGCAAGAGTTTGCCTAAATTATCAACCACATTACTCTAGACGCTGTGTCTGATGCAGTTTATAAAAGTTTACAAACCTCGATTTGTTCATTTGGCTGTGAAATGCCAAGAGATTAACAAACCGTGTTGTCATTTTCTTTTCTGAGCTAAACTGCTAAGGTTGATAGTTAGCATAGTTAATTTGGAGCCAACTTTTCTTAAAAACTCTCCTCCTTCTGATAAAACTACCATGTTCTGAAGTCAGCTATAGAAACATGCATGGGTTACAGCTTGGAACAATTGATTTGAAAGGCAAAACAAGATTTTTAGCATGGATTTGCACGTAGCACCTGTCAGTAACTAACAAAATGTGTCTGCTCTTAAAATTGCACAGCACAGTCATATTTTGCCTTCAAGCCAGACTGCTGCACAATCCTAACCCTAACCAAATTTGTTTGGTTGCTAAGATGGGGACTTAAACCTGGAATCATAAAACTGGATGGTTTTAAGCTTCCATTACCAATTAATCAAAGAGTTGGGACTCTTTCCAGAACTGCCAGTCAAGGAAAAACGATGAGGAAGAGAACAAATTTAAAAAACCCAAAACCAAGCTCAGGCACCAGTTCCAAAAATAATACTTCATCTAGTGACCTTTTGAGATTTTATAGACATTTGATGGATTAGAAGCGGTTAGATGATCCTTGGGAACAATCAACATAACAAGCTGGCTCAGATATTACTTGAGACTTTCAAGAAGAGATTGGACTGCCATTTGTCAGAAATGGTATAGGGTCTCCCGCTTGGGCAGGGGGTTGGACTAGATGACCTACAAGGTCCCTTCCAACTCTGATTATCTGTTAATGGTTCCTGATTGCCATAAGGAACAGTCTCACTGGTACAGTGACTGGCACATTACTTTACCTATTCATTTTTAAAGTGTCACAATATTCTATGGTAATGAATTCCACAGGTAAGCCGGGTGTCTCTTGGAATGCTTGGTTTGGCCAAGCATGTCACCTTCATCAGGTTAGAATGATTGAAATATCATATTTTCACAGTTTCCCATCTTTGCTGGCTTCATATTATTCCACAATTCTAGAACCTATCACCCTGTGGCCAACTGTTTCCCCTCCACTCACTTAGCCATTGTGAATTCTCATTAAAGCGCTGCATCTTTCTGCATATAGGTAATCCTCGACTTATGACCACAATTGAGCCCAACGTTCCTGTTACTGAGTGAGACATTTGATAAGGGAAGTTTGCCCCATTTTAGACCTATTTTGTCACCATTGTTAAGTGAATCACCTCAGTTGTTAAATTAGTGACTCAGTTGTTAAGTGAATTTGGCTTCTCCGTTTGCTAAGTTTGTTAAAAGGTTGCAAATGGTGATCAAATGACCGCAGGACACTGCAACCATCACAAATATGAGTCAATTGCCAAGCATCTGAATTTTGATCATGTAATCATGGGGATGCTGCAATGGTCGTAAGTGTGAAAAACAGTCATGTCATTTTTTCTGGTGCTGTTGTAATTTTGAACAGTTGCTGAATGAACTATTGAAAGGACTACTTGTATTCATTCAAAGCAGTGCATATAATAATTCCTTGCATATTGAATTTCCCTCCCATTGTATTAAAAAGAATCAAAACCAAGAGCAACTTTTGGGAGAGGTCTCGTTATATAAATAGATTAAATATGCCGACCACGTACAGATCTACATCTTCCATTGTATTATTATTTTTTCCTTGCTGATGTGCACTCTCTCACTTTCTTGCTTGTGTTAATAAATTAACATCTTAGTTAATCAGTGATGGAAAACACTTAGGCAGAAAATTCCATTTCATTAAACATCAGAAGGCCAAATCCAGAAATTTATGACAAGCTGCCAATAACTAGGGTTTCTATATTTGTGCATGGAAACAGGATTGCAGTACCACAAACCAATGAATCAAGCTTCCAAATTTGCATTTTTGCCATATTGTTTTCCGTGGCTTGACAATAATTAATCTTCTACCCATGACTCTGATTTCTTTGACCCGTTCTAAGTGGAGCAGCTTTAGAAAGCAGATTAGAGACTGTGTTTGGTTCAGAAAGCAACTGCTGCATCTCAGTATAATTCTATTTATATTTGGCGGTTTATCAAAATCCCAGAGCAGATAGCAGCAGTAATAAAGCAGTCACATAAAATAATGAAAGGCTATTGCAAACTTTAAAAATAAGCCAACCTAAATAAACACTGAC